AATTTCTACAAATCAATTGAACTTAAACTACTAGTATAATGACTGTGACGATTAATCGCTTGTCTAAGTACTTGCGGCGACGAATTATTGGATTGGCCGCAGCCGGACGAAAAATGAAAGAGGTAAACATAAAACAAAACAAATGTAGCCAGTGATACATTTTGAAAATAAAAATACAAAATAAACGCAATCAGAGGGCGCCGACCACGCGCATTGGAAATAAATAAAATGTGTTGTAACACACTCATTCACTTACGCAATATAATTATGCTATTTCCCAAAGCATTTATATTTAATACATTGACGAAACACCGCACGAAAAATGTAAATCAGGCTTGTAATTACTAGTAACTCAATTCGAACGCAATATTGGTCACTGTAAAAGTGAACAGTCATCAAATTCAAACGATCTCGTTGAATTTCAATCAAAAATAAATATTTAGAAAGACAAAAACAACAACATATTAGAGTGCAAAAAAGGTAGCAGCAAAGAACGAGAAATGCATGTGGGAAAGCGATGAGTGAACTTGAGGAAAATTATGCTAATGTGAGAACAAGCCGTATACCTCGCGGAGTACTCGCTAAAACATCGAAAAAAAGTGCCATTTCAAAGGGCACCCTTACAAATAGTGTCTGCGATTGTGTGAACATGATAATGTGCAAACAAGGAACAGAGCTCGTGGACCACCAAGGAAACTTAGCGATGGCACAGTTAGATGTATACGGCTGTTGAAAACAGAGACTCTTTCGATCTCATATGAGCAGGTTCACATGGATGTTTCATTTTCAACTATTACCAACAACACTATGGTAATAAAGACTTTTCGTTTTCGACACTGAAATTCTTTTGTTTTTATGTAGAAAAATACATTATTTTTACCAAATAAAATCATATTTATTAAAGTTATTGTTCATACATGTACATGAGTTGTCGAACACACTACATAGTTTGTAATTTCATCCAGCTCCTTTCAGTCACAATTCAAGACAAATAAAAGGCCCAAATATAGATAATATAGCAAATTATTTTTTTCTGTAATATTCGTGTGTAATCAGTAATTATAAAAATAATTTATGGGTACGACTTTGTCGAGCGGAGCTTATCATACATGTATGAGTGATTGTTCGTCGTCTGTCGTCGTCCGTGTCAATGTTTTACCTTTTCGACTTCTTCTTGAAAACTACAAGCCTGAATGCTTTGATACTTGGTGTATATGTACCTTGGGTAGACCTCTCTCAGATTTGTTCATTTCATGATGATATCTTCAATTCTCTAATTTTGGTGAATATTTTTGTCATTTTTAGTAAAAAGTGGTAATTTCAACTTCTTGTTAAAAACCGCAAGTCCAATTGCTTTGATATTACATATATAGGTACTACATGTGGACCTCTCTCAGATTTGTTCATTTTCTAATGATATCTTCTGTTCTTTAATTGCCAGGTGCATTGCTAACAGCGGAGCTATCTTAGCCGACAGGCTGCTTGTTTCATATTAGTTGTGTCTGTCAGTGCCGTATATGATTTCACATGTTTGGTTCGATCTTGTTTATGGTGGACATTATTACTACGCTTGTGTATTATTACCAATTTTATATAGCTGTGTGATCCACCGTATTTTTTCAACGATTGTTCTATAAATTTCTTATAGTATTTATTCATTTTTTAACATCATAAAAACAAAAATGATACACTTGTACATGAAACAATAGGTAATGAATTGTAAATGTGGTTGTGCTGTCAGGCGGGCAAGCGAGTGGATACTTCCGGATTTGCGCGATTGAAAAAAAAGCAGAAATTGTCCGGTCGAAACAAAGCGATCAAAATCCGGAAGCGGGCGGGAGGTTGGCCGAAATGAGTACTGTATCATCTTATGAAATTCAGCCTTCCTTACCTGAAATATTGTCTTATGAAATTAAGTCTTTTTTCACCTACAATATTTTCATAAAATGCCTCCCCGTTCCACCTGAAATATTGTCTTATGAAGTTCAGTTCTTTCCCAACTAAAAAATTGTCTCAAGAATTTCAGCCCTTTTTCACCTGAAATGTTGTCTAATGAAATTCAGCCCTTCGTCACCTGAAAAGTTGTCTCATGAAATTCAGCTTTTCACCTGAAAAATTGTCTCAAGAAATTCAGCCCTTTTTAGTCCTCGTTCGGACGCAGTCCGAAAACGGGGACTTATGTTTTGACCTCCGTGCGTGCGTGCGTCTGTGCATGCGTCTGGACCTGTATCTTAGAAATGCCTGGACCAATCACAATCAAACTTAACAAATACATCATATATGATATTATACATATGCACGTCAATTTGTTTTACGTTCTGATTCAAGATGGTCGAATGGCGGCCATTTTTGTGCTAAAAATCATCAAAATCAAGCATTTCTCGGGTGTTTACAGATGGATTTTGTTCAAACTTAATATATACATTAGACATTATAGGACCTTGATGCACATCATTTTGTTTTATGATCTGATTCAAGATGGCCGAATGGCGGCCATTTTTGTGCTAAAAAATCCTAAAAATCAAGCATTTCTCGGCTGTTTACAAATGAATTTTGTTCAAACTCGATATATATATTAGACAATATGGGACCTTGATACAAATAATTTTGTTTTTCATATAAGATTCAAAATGACCAACTGGCGGCCATTTTGTTTCAATGAATGTGGTTCTCGTGCCATACATTGTATCTCTGACTTGCTTTCACTGATTATGTTCAAATTTTAAATATTCATTATACATCATGTCATAGATAAACAGTTACATTGGTTTGACAATCCTATTCAAAATGGCCGAATGGTGGTCATTTTTGTGCTAAAAAATCATCAAATACTGTGAAATACTTTATTTTCGCTGGAATTAATTTTTGCTGAAAAGGCTTTTTGGGCTTTTTGCTTGGAAGTTATTTTCACTGATTTTAATGAGTTTAATGTGAAATATAGGAAAAAAAGTATATTCGCTGGATTTTATTTTCACGGAATCATCTCTTCAGCGAAAATAGCGAAAATAAATTCCAAGCGAAAATAAAGTATTCTACAGTATCAAGCATTTCTGGCATTTCTGGATGGATTTCGTTCAAACTGGGTACATACATTAGACATTATGGGTTCCTGATGCACGGAATTTTTTTTTTCAGATTGGATTCAAAATGGCAGACTGGCGGCCATTTTGTTTTAATGATTGGGCTTATAGAGCCTACTCTTTAATGCTTTGACTGATTATATTCAAATTTTATATATTTGTTATACATCTTGTGATATATATACATGTATTCAAAATGGCTGATTTTGAATGCTGTTCCAGAGCAATATCTCTAAATATGGACAAGTACTTGTTTGATGATCAGATACAAATGTCAATCATTTTAATGTTAAAAAACCATATTCCTGACATGGTTATATTCCAGCTATATTACTATGAACAAAACTATATTTCTTAAATTTAATAACTAACGGGGACTGTGCCATGCATGGCTTGTTCACCTGAAATGTTGTCTAATGAAATTCAGCTTTTCGTCTCCTGAAATGTTGTCTCATGAAATTCAGCCATTCGTCTCCTGAAATGTTGTCTTATGAAATTCAGCCATTCGTCTCCTGAAATGTTGTCTAATGAAATTCAGCTTTTCGTCTCCTGAAATGTTGTCTCATGAAATTCAGCCCTTCGTCTCCTGAAATGTTGTCTCATGAAATTCAGGCCTTCGTCTCCTGAAATGTTGTCTAATGAAATTCAGCTCTTCGTCTCCTGAAATGTTGTCTTATGAAATTCAGCCATTCGTCTCCTGAAGTGTTGTCTCATGAAATTCAGGCCTTCGTCTCCTGAAATGTTGTCTCATGAAATTCAGCCTGTTGTCTTATGAATTCAGCCCATTCCCACCTGAAAAGCTGTCTTGCAAAATTCAGTCCTTCCCTACCTGAGTTGTTATTAGTCCCCGTTCGAACGAAGTCCGAAAACGAGGACTTATAATTCGGTCTCCGTTCGTGCGTCCGTCCGGAGTCGTATCTCAGAATCCCTCGGACTGATTCCATTCATTCTTTGCAGATGCCTAGTACTTTATGTGGGACATGTGCACATGCAGTGGTTTAGCGATTCGATTCAAAATGGCCGATTGGCAGCCATCTTGTTTTTTGAAAATGTTGTATTTTGGACATGCTTTGTCAGTTGTCATTCAAACTTGGTACATAGATTATACATGTTAGGATACATGTCCATGACGATTTATTTCACAATTGGATCAAAGATGGTCGACTGGCAGGCATCTTGTTTTTTTTTATACGGTTTCTTGGATGTGCTCTGTCAGTTTTCATTCAAATTTGGCACATACATGTACTTTATACATGTTAGGATGCATGTCCATGACAATTTGTTTCTAAATCTGGTCAAGGATGGCCGATTGACAGCCATCTGACTTTTTGGCCTTACTACTATATTTCCACAATTTATGTACCATTTTCATTCGTATTTGGCACATACATCATACATATCAGTGTGTTTCATAATCAGATCAAAGATGGCCGAATAATGGCTGTTTTTATTTTTGGCCATATTACTACTACACGGAACACGTGTTTTGATGTAAATAAACAATCTGTTGTATACGCCACTTGGAACTCAAGTTTCAAGGACACGTTGTGACAACCTCTTCACTTTAATATGACTAGCACAAAGAGAACTTTCAAAAATGTTATGGGGACTGTGTCATTTTCAATGACTTGTTTTCTGAAATTCAACCTTCTTCTCAAAAAATGGAAGAAATGAAAGATTTTTTTTTCGTTTCCAGAAAATTTACTGCCTAAAATTTGTTAATCGAGTCATGTTAGGAATAAATACATGTAGATATCTAAGAAATGAAAACCAATTACAATAAATGTGAATCAAATGTGGAAATAATACTGTAGTGTAATTTGGCTTATGAAGATAACAAATGTTAATATTTGATAATCTTGAATATTCAAACATCTTCTGCACAAATTATTGATTATATGGGCTGTGTTTTGCTTGCAGGTATAGGAAACTAGCATTGAAATGGCATCCTGATAAGAATCAGGACAAGAAGGATGAAGCAGAGAAAAAATTCAAAGAATTGTCTGAGGCATATCAAGTTCTTTCAGACAGTAAGTTTTCTTTATTACAAATGTTAATCTGATTTTGCTGGAATGAGGATATTTAAACTTGTAACTTGCAGTCAGACAATGTTGACTATTGCAACCTTTTAGACTGAGCTCCACAATTTTTTCTTTCCAAAACTTTGATGCAAATTTTGCCTATTTTATTATGTTTTTAAATAATTTTTTTTTATATTTTGGGCCCAATGGACATTCTGTATTTATTCGGGTAAGCATCCAAGGTCCTGAACATGGGAAATTAAGAAAAAAATAGAGGTGGGCCTATGCCCAGACATCCCCTGCAGCAGGGAATAGAATGGAAAATGAAAAAATGCAACAGAAATAAATGAACAATATGCAACATTGGAAGTATAACAAAAATAATTTATTGCTTATAATGTGACAAATAAACCAGAAATAATAAAAATCGACAGTGAGGAATCATTTGAATTAGGATTTTCCCGCCTACAAACGCGCCCAATACGTGTGAACTCAAAATGAACTAAAATGTCAGTGGTTAACCTGCATAAAATTATTTCCGGTTTCGACAAATTATTGATCAACTGTTATACAAGATCAATAATAATTTACACAGTAAAAATTATGAAATTTCATAGTTCGTTTATTGCCATCTTCGTCAAAGTGAAAACCCTCAAAGTCCAAGTAGGCGTCAATGTCGCCGTTGACAAAATTCCATCGGTTGGAATGTCTCGCTATATGGATATCGCGTTGGGCTTTGAAATAGGGAGAATTTTGTTCTCCAATGAAAGAAATGCAATAGCAGTGATGAAAGATGGTAAAAAAGTTGGCAGTCTTTGGCATGATATTGCAAAATTGCTGGCCCCAGTTATGGATTCACAAGCTGCTACCAAATATTTTATGAAGCCAAAATAGCGTGATCTCGACCACTCTCCCAGTTACGGGTTACTACAATATTGCAACATTGGTTTTATTGTCAATGACGCTAAAGCCGAACAAGTGCGACACGGCTCTCCTTATACTGCAAGATTTGCTTCAATCGTTTCTAAGGAAGCACAAACCAAACGGCCCTTTTCAGGGCCACGACATATTTCGACAAGTGAATACCGTTTAATATACATTTTTGTAGACTTGCTGAATGTTATGATTCTGATAAAAAATCTTGAAAAATAAAGGCTGAACACAAAATTACCAATTTTGCTATCACAGCTATTTCATGTTCACCCCTCGTTTTACACAATTGACAATTATTTTTCAAATATCACAACTGTTAATACAACAAACAAAAACTAGGTTTTTTTTATTTAATTTTATTATAAGTGGAAAAAAATACCCCCTGGGTGTATGCCTGGATATGACCTCAATTTCTTCATTGTATCAAAATTAGAGGGGGGGTTGCCCAGGCATGGGCTTTTACCCGGATAAATATGGTGGTTTCCGATTGACTACAGGTTTTGATCAAAATTTTGAGTAAAATATAAAAAAAAAAGTGATGTGGGTTACACAAATGTAGCTATTATTAGTCAGCTATCGATGTGGATGAAAAAAACTGTAGGTGGTAGTCACCTGAACTTGATTTGATTTTCAGGAAATTGCACCAAATTTTGTTGGCAAAAAAATGGAAAATCTGGAAGTGGTAAATTATTTTAGTTTTCAATTTATGTGGAAATGAATCGACCACTCAAAAGTACTATATTGATGTCTTTTATGGATGTTTGTTGTACATGTATTAGTAATTTAATCTCTTCTTGATGATCAATGTATCAACACTGTAACCTTTGTGGGTATGCAGAGGCAACATCAGAGGCAACATCAGCATTTGTTGGGAATGCTGTTGAAAGTGAAAACAGTGTTCACTGATGGTTTCCTGTATGTATCTATTCAAATGAAACAAATTTAAAATGTACCTCACCCATAGTAAGACTTATATTTGCTTGACACAATGTACTACTAAAGTGTCATTCTGTACCTGTAAATATGTTTTTTAAGTGTAATCTTTGTTCACCATTGTGTAGGCCATAGACCTTCTATCGTGATAGAGGGACTGTGTGTCGGCAAACAACTTTGACATCATAAAATCTGCTGAACACTTGGTTAATGCTGCTCAAGCATAGCCTTCTACTAAAGATAACACAGGTTGACTTGCAGAGCTTTTATACATTAACACTCCTTGTACAAGTGTTATGTATTCCATATCAGTAGATGCCCATCTTTCAAAACTCTTGACATAACATGTCAAATACCGTATTTGCTCTATTAGAAGTGCAAGTCTAATAAACTGCTCATAAATCAAAAATTGCATTTATTAGATTTACTGGATTGTTAAAATATTACTTATTTTGACACCAAATCTGGTATATATATATATATATATATATATATATATATATACACACAGTCAAACATCATTATAACGAAAAACAATGGACCAACGTAAACAGTTCGTTATAACCGTAGTTCGTTATAACCAATTAGCCTCTAGGGGGTGCCTTTCAAAAAAACTAGATGGCTGCCAGACCCCCCCCCCCCCCCCCGATTTCAAAACGAAGTCAGCAGAAAACAAATGTACATTAGACACATACTTTCACATGAGAATAGTTTTATTACCATTGTATGTTCATTATTCTTCATGAAATACATACAAATATGTTCCTTTGCCATATATGTAAATAATTATATATATATATATATATAATTTGTGGACAGACGCTGACTTTCCAGATCTTTTGTACCACACATCATTATTTGCACTTATTGTTCAATCTTGCAAATACAAAATAATGAAACTGTTGTTTTATTACAACTCTATAATTATAAAATTACTTGGCATGCTTTTGTTTGATTTCAATGAATCATTATACATGGCATACATGTGTATGATTCAAATCTAATACCGTATTTTGTTCTAGTGCTGCTCCAGTAAAAGTTCACATAAACCACATTTATTGTGTACTGAATCATTAAAATATTACCGGTACTACCGGTAGGTTGGACCATAGAAACACCTGTAATTTACGTGAGTGCATACACTACTAGTAGAGCAAATTTGGTATCGTCCAAATCGAATGCATGTGTCGCCAGTCAGAGTATTGATGTGAATGCAGAATCAATTAGCACATTTTATTTATAAAGCATGTTGTGAAGGCTATATCATGTATTCAATGTTTTACACATTGTTGACATCCAGAGTGTAGTGCTCTTAAATCTCAACTTGTACATGTATTATGCTAATTTAATATGCCTCTGTCTGTAATTTTATATTCACGAGCTCTATCTAGGGACAATTTGTATTCTATTGGTAATATTCAGCTCTGCTCTTATCTTTAAAATATGTACTGTTTAGGAATTTTCACAATTTGATTTTAGGATAATAGAGAGTCTAAGATTTGCGTACGCAATGGGAACGTAACATGTTGTTCTAATTTCGTTTGCGTTACGTTTTCTGGTGTCAGAAAACTATTAAGTACAAGCACCCATAACGGGAACGTAACTGAAACAGAACTATGTCAATCTCATTGGGCAACCATAATTCATAATCTGAATTAGTAGTTCCCAGACATTTGACAGAGCTATCGCTATTTTCATCCACTCTGCTGAGGCCCCAGGCCTGTTTGCCGAATCTTCTTTCAGCAAATAATGTCATGCGTTTTCAGTGCGTATATAAATATCAGCTAAAATGCATCCAATATTTCTTATTTCATCATAAATATACAAAATTGCGCCATAATAGTGAGATGTGTTTTACAGATTATGGAGACTACATGTATGTGGGGCAAAAGAGAAATGAATGGAATACAAATGTACATCAGAATTATTTGTTGATATTTTGTTGATTATTTGTGATCATTTGGCATTTTAACCGTCACTTATTAGATAGCAAAGGTCAATCATACTCTAGTGCCATCGGAAGTGACCTCCTGAGTGATGTCAAACAGGATCACGATAGTATAATGGTTTCTCTATTTGTTATTTCCAAAAGAAATTAAAGGTGGATGGCTGAGTTTCAACCAAGCAATATTGAGTCATTGTTTGGCAAGCCAGTAGTGCACTATTTATCACAGGACAGTAACCCAATAAAGCAATAACAGTCATTGTGGTACATGTATTTCTATTTTTTTCTATTTATATTTTGAGTTTGGTTCTACAGAGTTGTATCTGAGTTGAGCATGTCTTTTTCGCGAATTTAGCGAGAGAACTGATTCGCTAATTCAAGTTGTCGCTTATGACTTTATTATCAATTCAAAATGGCCACCAAACAAAGAAATTAACAATGACAAGAGAGATTCGCTATTAAAATCAACATTTCATTACGTCATTTTACCACAATTCGCTGAAATTGCATGCTGCTTTTTCAACATGCTTTACAGTATACTATTCCATAAGCGTTGTTTACAAGGTTTCAGAACAGCTTCATTGTATACACATATAGTCGGTTAGTATTGAACCGAAACTTGAAAGACATTTGGTAGTCTTGATGAATCTTTATTATGAATGTACTCATTGCTCTATTGTAATCCTTTGAGGTAAAATAGTTTTCAAAAGCTGTACATCTGGCAATATTTAAATGTCTTTCTGTATAATGTAAAGAGGCAAGATATATTATTTAATTGAAAGTATCTTGATCTACTGTGCTGATATGGCTGGTTAAATCTTTCTACAGCATACAACATGTGCCAATCAGTTAACCATAACACGACGAGTTAAATTTTTGTTTTTATGCAGTGGACTTTATAATATACATGTATGTTTAACTGACTATACCTTTCCTAGTATTCCAAGGAGTACTTAATTAAACCTAAACCTATACATATAATTTAACTGAATAACAGACAATTTATGGAAGATATTAAGTAGATTTGTCAGTTGTAATTTCTAGTATTAGTAAGATGGTGGACTAATGTTTCAACCCTGGATGTTTGGTCCATGGTGGATGCTTTAACTGTAAAAGAACACACTAACTGTTGACTGTGACTAACCATTGATCAGAACTACTATATTTGATAAACTTATTTGTTTTATTTATATTTCTATTATGGTGTTGCATGTTGACTTTCATAGTTTCAAGTGAAAGAAAGTTTTTGTTTCTCGTGCGTTAAAATGTGGAAATTCAGTATGGGTATCGTTTAGTCCCAATGATTTGATGGTACTGTAAATGCATTTTAATTATTTCACTATTTTGGCTGATAAGTAAAATTCACTAAACAATTGAACTTAGTGTTTCACTGCCAAATTTGTGAACTTAAATTATGGTGAAAATAAATTGTTTCACAGTATTTGAAAAGCAATGCGCTCTGTTCAACTATTCACAGCCTGTTAAAAGGTAACATACATGTATACAATTTAGGTAAAATATTCTAAAATTCAGTTTCAGCGAGAGAATTTGCCTATTTGCTGCTGCTGATGGTAGTAAGAAATGAACAATGTGTACTAATGCAGAAATTCATCAGATCTGCACATCAAACAATATTTTGATGGAAAAAATGTTCTGGTAGCAGACTTGCCTGTCAGTCAGTTAAAAGTGATGTGTTGTATCATATTTCAGTAGATGCAGATGTACATTGTATGCATAGATCACTGATGTAGAATATGTCATAAAGAAAATGTTTGTCAGATGTGTCAGTTTTATTGATGTTTTATTTTTCTTCTGTTGCTAATCACACTCTTACTGCTACATACCGGTACGTGTACCACAGACACTGAATTCTACATCATCATAGATAACATTGTGTCTTTGTTTTATAGAGTCAAAGCGAGAGGTGTACGACAGATATGGCGTTGAAGGTCTGAATGGCACAAGCGGTAAGTGATTCATTGTAAAAGAGTCTTCTTTGGTCTGTTTATAAGCTTGGTCTAGGATCTAACATGAAAATGATGCCATGGTTCAGTCACCAAGTTGCCTTCCACAGCTGTATCTTAAATGTTATACAATTATAGCAATTGACATTCACATTTCTTTTAAGTATACTATAGTATACACCACAATAATGAATTGTAGCATGTATAACAATCTGTGATTGTAGCATTTTCTCTTGATATTTACTCCAGAAAAAATAAGATAGTGTCCGAGTAGTAACAAACAATGGGATTTTTTGCATTTTGGTGCAGTCTATTAGTAATGCATATCTCATTACACGTGTCTTGAAGTCCCTGGCATGGTAGCACTCTGTCATCTTGTGTTCCCAGTAGCATCTTTAGTGTCAAGCTCTTTTTTTTTGCATGATCCAGTTTTCTGTGTGACTGATCAGTGTTTATCTCCTATCTGTCCTTTTACATTAATGCACTTATCATGTAGTGATTATTTTAATATGTGTGCTCACATAACAATATTATATTTTTTGCATGGTGATATTAAGTACACTGTCGCCCAAAATTGCATACTTGGATTCCAGTCAGAAAGTTATAGTTGATTAGCTTACATTTTAGATCTTGTTAACAGATATTTGATCTTTAGGTTCTTGTTAACAAGGTGTCAAAGCCATGTGTTTCTATAGTCTATAATAAATAACACAAAATTATATCAAAAACAGTATTAATCGTCCTTATTTGGATTATTTGTTTTTTTAGTTAATTTATTTCCATTCAAATCCTCTGTTTATCAAATTCTCTGTATTATTTTGGCTTGAGGAATAATACTACAAAGAGGCACATGGATATAAAGCTATTGCTCAACTTCAAAAAATTGTAGACTACATTCAAATCATTAAAATGATTGCCAAGACAAAATATGTATATTAGGGATTGACCATTAGAAACTTAGGGGGTCTGCAGTTGAAAAATAAAATAAAAAATTGTAATAGGAAAATAAAAACAAAATCCCCAAATACTCAATAGAGAATTTTTTTTGAATGCAAGATAGTATTAAAAAAAAAAAATGTGAAGCAAAAAGTACTTTCTGCAGTTGTTCACCCCCCAATTTTTAATGGTCTATCCCTTAACATAATTTTGTATACACACCTTTAATCGATTAGAAAGGAATCTTTAATGCATGTCACTCAATGTGCTTATTTAAGTTGGGTATGTTCATGGGAATACATAATCTGTCATAATACATTTAATGTTTGCACTGACTGCTATTACATTTGCACATTATTCAACTGATAGCAAACATCTAGTGAAAATGTGCATGTTAAGGATGGAGTAGACAGGAGAATAAGGAAAGCACTGTAATATCAAGAATATATATGAACACAATAAAGATCTTATAAGCTCTTAGCAACTGTGTAACAGAAATTATTGCCTTGTAGTGCTTACTACACATCTGTCATTGTAGCTTTGTAATGGGTGAAAAATAAATCTGAATGTCAGCAAAGAAGTCAAGACACTGGAAGCATGGACTTAAACCTTTTAGTGAATTCTAGTTGTGGAAAAAATTTTTTGCATGACCATGTGTATGTTAATGCATTTATCAATTATGCTTACTATGCTGTTTTTTTCTCTGTGAAATAAGTTTGCTGTTGGTGGATGTAATAAATGTACATCTGTTGTCCTTTACACCAGAGTTTTTTATGCTTTTAGCTGAATACATGTACCTATAACTACTGGAGGGCTTCAGGCTAGGGAATGAAAAATAGGCATTTATTTTGATGCATGCATATACTGTGAGGACTTTTTATCTGCAGCTTGCGATTGCTAGAAGGGAATTTGTATTGCTGCTTGCATACACTCGCAAAAACATTTCTTTTGCTGTTCTTATTCTGTTTTTTTTCTTTATACTGATTTGTTTATTATCAGTCCTGCTCTGTTTTGCATATAGCAGTCGCGTGCACTCAAAAACTGAACAAGCAGCACTCACATGTACTCTGAAAGATAACCACACAAACACTACTATGCAATACAGCAGTGTGCTCCTGCACTGACCAGGTCCGTTTCTCAACTTGTGATAACTAATAACTGATTCCCTAATAATCAGCACATGTAGAAAACTTCCTGCATACTATTCCTTGTTTTAAAAAAAATAACAGAAATCTTTAATGGAATGTAATTGAAAACTAACTGTATGTTGCCAATTGTGTTTTAAATGATTTAGCAGATTTTAAGTACCAAGTAAATTAAATAAAATGTTATTTAACATCGGGCAAAAGGATTAACATAATGTGTGTCAGTCTTGAAACTTGTGCTCCACACATCTTTGGCGATTCTATTTACCAGGAAAGTGTGCCACCTATGGTACAATGGGGAAATGTCCATGTTGTCAATCCAAATCCAATTTAGATAGATGTGTTATTTTTTTAATTGCACATATACAAAAACATGTTTAACATTGTTCATGTTTTGAATAATGTGAAAAAAGTAAAACTGCATCATTTTCTTTGAGATTAGACTAGAACTTTGAGAAGCAAGACTTGTTTTTAACTTTGTGTGAATTTATCCTTTTGCGGAATGTTCATGAAAACTTCCAGTAATTTGGAAATTGCCATCTCGGTTTCTATAAAGCTATTTACAGTATAAATAAAAATAAATGGAATGGGGGTTTACATGCAAGATCCTCCTCCTCCTCCTCTTAATGGCCATGACTAAATTTCTATTCACTTACTGCTTTGTCTTTAACCATTAATTTATTACAACCAAAAAAATAAAATCATTATGAACATTTTCAAATTAGAAAATAATGTAATAAATTGCAGCTGCTATCATTCATCATCTATGGATTCATTTCAAACTATTGCATCTTTTCTGACCATGTTAAAAGATCACTGCTAATCATGTGTCATTTTGGGTATTTGATTGCCCCCTTCCATACACCCACCTCCTTACAGGAAGTTCCAGACCGTCATATAGAAGGACCTACAGAACCAGAACCAGTACTAATCCCAGAAGAAGAAGAGCTTATTGGAGAGGTTTTTATTCGCTTTTTTCATTTCTCACATTTTTTGTACTTTGCTTGAAACTTACATGATCTGCAACTCTTTTAATAAAAATCTAACTTGCAACTTTTTTTGAAAACAATTTTTTTTTTTCATATTAACTATTGAGACTGCAAACAAACATGATTAACCCATTTTATGATCTCTAATTTGAGAAATGAATTTGGAAGGGGCATTGCAGGTATATGTATATATCTCTCCATCAACACCACAATATTTAACATACATAATAAAAGACACATTCCTTTGTCTGGTTGAAAACAACTACTGTATTTGCTCTTAGTAAGTGCATATGTGAC